GTAAATCCTATGGTCTTCCAGAAGTGATCTATATCTGCTCTTTTCTTCTGTTGCAGTGAAAGAGGAGACGTCAGAGGCTTTGTCTGTAGCACGAGGTACGAGACGTTTCAACAGAGATTCCACTACCTACACCGCTGCCCTGTCACCGAAACTACAGAGAACAGAAGCTTTGCCCTTAGACGGTACGACCTGTTCAGCTGTTCCGAGTGTTTTTGCTTGTTAGTGTCTGAGAGTGAATGATATCGATTGAGTGTTTATGCCACAATAAATGCGGCATATATCCAAGCCAGTTCTGATGGGTTGAACTGAAAGTGAATGGAGGACAGGGTTTTCTTTAGGTTGAGTTGGACGCCTCTCTTCATTCTCTCATTAAGTGCACATAATAAAACTCTTAATAATGCTCACAGCCTCCTAATTAAGTCGTCTACATTGTAACTAATTAAGTGTCTGATTTTTATTAGGGTGTGAATGACCTGCCAATTTGGGTTATTTTTCTGCTGCGGTTATAATTTAACAGACATAAGTGCTGTGTGGTCAGCTCTCATTAAATGTCTTGTAGATCAAGCTCATTAAAAAAAGAAAAAAAAAGTATTCTTAGCAGCATTATAAAACTGATCTGTCGTGTTTGCACATGTCTATTGGAAGACCATTATAAACTCTGAGACATGTTACTAGTTCCATCAGATTTATATTCATTCTGAACACAGGAATCCTCCTGCATTTATTTTAGTGGGGGTTTATGTGTTCGTTAAATACTGTAGGTGTGTATACTTGTAGTCTCTAGCGTGTAACTAAAAACTTCTATAAACCTTTGTTTATACACACAACTAGCTTTTCTTTATTATTGCTATTTTATGCAATTTAAAGTAAGCAGAACTATGAAATAGCACAGATGGGAGTATAGGATTTATGTAGTGACCAAAAATGTTCAAATAGCTTATATTTTAGCTTTTTGAAAGCAGTGATAAGGAGCCACAACTTCATTAGGTGCATCCTGGGATGCTGTTTAAACAATAATCATCCATTCAATGATGCGAAGAAAATTTAGGTGCAATTTATATTTGTCAAAACTATGTATTAAATTGTAAAAGTCTTACCACTGTCTCTTTTGATCATTGTTACAAAATATTTCTATTTCTAATAAAAGCTGTTCTTTTGAACTTTCTATTCATCAAAAAATCCTGAAAAATGTATCATGGTTTCCACATAAATACTGTTTTCAACACTGATGATAATAAGAAATGTTACTTGAACATCAAATCAGCACATTAGTATGATTTCTGAAGGATCTTTTGACACTGAAGATTGGAGTAATGGCTGCTGAAAATCAGCTTTGCATTATTTCACTATATTTGTACTGTAATTTTGTAGTCTTGGTGAGCATAAGGAACATATTTATATTTATAATATTATTTCAAACCATATTAACAAATACGATTTTCATGACCTTAAGTATGATCTGCTGTTTAAACAATAATCATCCATTCAATAATGCGAAGGAAATTTAGGTGCAATTTATATTTGTCAAAACTATGTATTAAAGTGATCAAAAGAGACAGTGGTAAGACTTTTACATTGTTACAAAAGATTTCTATTTCTAATAAAAGTTGTTCTTTTGAACTTTCTATTCATCAAAAAATCCTGAAAAATGTATCATGGTTTCCACATAAATACTGTTTTCAACACTGATGATAATAAGAAATGTTACTTGAACATCAAATCAGCACATTAGTATGATTTCTGAAGGATCTTGTGACACTGAAGATTGGAGTAATGGCTGCTGAAAATCAGCTTTGCATTATTTCGCTATATTTGTACTGTAATTTTGTAGTCTTGGTGAGCATAAGGAACATATTTATATTTATAATATTATTTCAAACCATATTAACAAATACGATTTTCATGACCTTAAGTATGATCTAAAACATTTCACTTCATACTACTTCTGTGACAGAAACCATCACCCATGCTGAAAATGGTGCCTCCACAGACCAGCAGTTCTCAGTAGAGTCAATAGACTCAGCCTCCAATTCGGTTGCCCCCCGGCCCCCCGCACTACGGAGCACGTCTGAGTATCACACCCCGACCAGAAGCAGCCCGCACTACCCCCCTCATCCCCCACCCCTCCGCAGGCTCTCCTCCAACCCCTCTGAGCTGGGACCTGCACGCGCACACAGACGAGTGGAAGGTAGGCTATGTAAGAACGCTTTGTTTAGACACCTTCACACACACTATTAATAACATGTGAGACTGCTTGCAGATGACCAGACTTAAATCAGCACTCAGATTTATAGGTAACACTTTATAATAACATTAATTCATAATATTTAAAAAATCTGATCAAAAACTGCTTAACAGATCATTTACATGCACAGTTATAAATGTCAATAACACGTTACGATAGGGTTTTATTTGTTACCATTAGTTCATATGAACTGACTATGAGGATTATACATTTTTACAGAATTAATCTTTGCTACTGTTAGTTACAAATATGATTGTTCATAGTTTGTACTTCAACATTAATAGATACAACTTTTGATTATAGAGCTGTATTCGGAAATATAGAAATTAAGATTATAAATGCTGTAGAAATATAGTTGGTTCTTGTTAATTCATTTGAACTAATGTAGTTAACTAAAGTGAAGAAATTAAACCTTATTTTACAGTGTTACTGAAATGTCATGAAGCTTTGAATTACTAGAATTTTAGTTGGAATTGCATTGTGTTTTTTGATGATTTATTAATGGTAAAGTTATAAAGTTGACTAGACGTTATTTTATTTTTAATGGACCTAGTGCAGCTTTATAAGTAATACTTTGTAATAACTTAATGTATATAATGTTTATACAAGTTCACATATAATGTTTAACAGATCATTATTTCATGCACAGTTAGAAATGTCATTAAGCTTTGAATGACTGGTCTCTATATAAGGTGAAGTATAGTGTTATAGTGTTTTTTTTTTAATGATGACTTAATAATAAAGTTACTAATTCATTGAATCATTTAAAGTCAGTGAGCTTTTAGTGTCTGTGCTTGTTGGCATTCCGCTTGTATTTGAGCCCTGAAAGCAAAACGGTTTTTATTGTTCAACTCCCTCAGAATGCTTTCAGTCTAGCAGCTTGGCTTACGCGCTCAGTGCTGCTCTTCAGAGACTTAGATCTATTTCTATCATGGGATAAACACCCATATCATTTCTGCACAGAGTGCCTATGTGAGGACCAGATGTATTTTCTCTAATCAAATGTCAAGTGGCACAATAGGCTTTGATATGGATTAAAGCCTGTTGGCGGCTCAGGGGGCCATATTTATTTAAATAGCATCTCGGAGTGGAAGTGATGTTTGGGGTTCAGTTTTATTTTCCATTGTAAAAATCCTAGACCTGCACTCCCATTCTGGAAAGCTCATGTTTCAGTTTTCCAAAAAATATATGCGTCAGTTGAGGCAGGCAGAAAAAAGGATGATCATAGATTTAATTACTTTGTGATTATAAAAAAACCTAATATGTCATTGCTGTGTGATGTCACACAGAATCCACGACATTTTGTTGGTTTTTTTGACATCTAGCATGTACTACATTCAGTTGTGGGCTATATTTGATTCTGTCATACTATTCTTATTGTTTCTGCAGTATGTGGTACGTGTATTGTACACAAAATGATCGGAATACCTAGCAGAATATATAGCAGAACATTACAATCTAAAATCGCTCTTTAAAGCATTAAAATAACTAAATTAAAAATAAATAATAAAGAAAATGACTAGATTTTAACTGGTATAAGAAACACATATTAAAGGGTTAGGTCACCCAAAAATGAAGATTAGCCTGTGTTTTACTCACCCTCTAAGCATCCTAGGTGTATGTGACTTTCTTCTTTCAGACGAATCCAATCAGAGTTATATTAAAAATTGTCCTGGCCCCTCCGAGCCTTTCAGTGGGGGTAAGCGGGTGTTGGTTGTCAACAGTTCAGAAGACGTGAAATAAAGTGCGCGCATCCGTAATAAAACGTCCCTCACACGGCTCCCGGGGGTGAATAAAGGCCTCCTGTAGCGAATCCAAATGTAATAAACACTTTTTTTTTCTCACTTCTGCTGACTGTGGTACGCGGAAGGCGTTCAGGCGGATGACGTAGGACGTATGCGTGCACCTCTGAGAAATGCAGAAGCAAAGGAAAACCAATCTCCTCTTGGTTTATATCAAAATCCTCCGGCATTTTTCTTTACAAATCCTTGTTTTGTGCTTCTAATTCGTGAATGGCGTTTTGTTGTGTCTCCGCGTTCGTTACTAATCACGCAACGCCGACGTGCTGCGTCTTCTGCCAGAAGGGCTTCCGTGTATGACAGTCAGCGGAAGTGATAAAAAAAGTGTTTATTACATTTGAAATATGGATATTTATCTTACAAAATGCATGGATTCGCTACAGGAGGCCTTTATTCAGCCCCTGGAGCCATGTGAGGGACATTTGATTATGGATGCGCGCACTTTATTTCACGTCTTCTGAACTGTTGACAACCACCACCCGCTTCCTACATTAGGAAGAATAAATACTGCCCACCACAGTATATCTTAATTTTGTTTCAATATTTTTTTATATCATTAGTATATTCAATTATATTAAAGGGGTCATATAATGCTGCTAAAAAGAACATTATTTCTACTTTATTTACTTTATTATTAATACGCATCGATTTTTACAAAGCTCATCGGTCTGAAAAAGCGAGGTGTGCTCTGATTGGCCAGCTATGTAGTGCGTTGTGATTGGCCGAATACCTCAAGCGTGAGACGGAAATGTTACGCCACTTGCCATATTGTGATGATGCCCTGTCAGGCCGGAGCGATGATTCAAAAACATGAAAACCCATTATAAACGAGGCATTCGTTGCATCCAGTGGGGACATAATTATGGATTATAATGACTTATACTGTCTTTTTACGCGTTGCATTGCATCGCGCCGCGTAAACATAAAACCATGTCTGCATTTGTGATTGGAGAAATGACAAATACCTAGCAGAATATATAGCAGAACATTACAATCTAAAATCGCTCTTTAAAGCATTAAAATAACTAAATTAAAAATAAATAATAAAGAAAATGACTAGATTTTAACTGGTATAAGAAACACATATTAAAGGGTTAGGTCACCCAAAAATGAAGATTAGCCTGTGTTTTACTCACCCTCTAAGCATCCTAGGTGTATGTGACTTTCTTCTTTCAGACGAATCCAATCAGAGTTATATTAAAAATTGTCCTGGCCCCTCCGAGCCTTTCAGTGGGGGTAAGCGGGTGTTGGTTGTCAACAGTTCAGAAGACGTGAAATAAAGTGCGCGCATCCGTAATAAAACGTCCCTCACACGGCTCCCGGGGGTGAATAAAGGCCTCCTGTAGCAAATCCAAATGTAATAAACACTTTTTTTTCTCACTTCTGCTGACTGTGGTACGCGGAAGGCGTTCAGGCGGATGACGTAGGACGTATGCGTGCACCTCTGAGAAATGCAGAAGCAAAGGAAAACCAATCTCCTCTTGGTTTATATCAAAATCCTCCGGCATTTTTCTTTACAAATCCTTGTTTTGTGCTTCTAATTCGTGAATGGCGTTTTGTTGTGTCTCCGCGTTCGTTACTAATCACGCAACGCCGACGTGCTGCGTCTTCTGCCAGAAGGGCTTCCGTGTATGACAGTCAGCGGAAGTGATAAAAAAGTGTTTATTACATTTGAAATATGGATATTTATCTTACAAAATGCATGGATTCGCTACAGGAGGCCTTTATTCAGCCCCTGGAGCCATGTGAGGGACATTTGATTATGGATGCGCGCACTTTATTTCACGTCTTCTGAACTGTTGACAACCACCACCCGCTTCCTACATTAGGAAGAATAAATACTGCCCACCACAGTATATCTTAATTTTGTTTCAATATTTTTTTATATCATTAGTATATTCAATTATATTAAAGGGGTCATATAATGCTGCTAAAAAGAACATTATTTCTACTTTATTTACTTTATTATTAATACGCATCGATTTTTACAAAGCTCATCGGTCTGAAAAAGCGAGGTGTGCTCTGATTGGCCAGCTATGTAGTGCGTTGTGATTGGCCGAATACCTCAAGCGTGAGACGGAAATGTTACGCCACTTGCCATATTGTGATGATGCCCTGTCAGGCCGGAGCGATGATTCAAAAACATGAAAACCCATTATAAACGAGGCATTCGTTGCATCCAGTGGGGACATAATTATGGATTATAATGACTTATACTGTCTTTTTACGCGTTGCATTGCATCGCGCCGCGTAAACATAAAACCATGTCTGCATTTGTGATTGGAGAAATGACAAACAACAAGCCCTACTCTACACTGCCCAAATATAAAATATAAAAACTCTTTAAATATAAAAGACGTACTTACAGTACTTGAGTCAGAACAGCCCACATTGTAGTCTACTCTTCCAGGATCAGGAAACAGTCCTCCATAAAATGTGCTGCACACATCCGAATATTTGGGTTGAACTGCTCTGGAACAGTGTTGTAAATACAACTTAACCACTGATTTCTAGTCGTGTCCATTTTTGGAAGGCCAAACAAAGTAGTTTCGCTTTCACAACGAAACAGCGTCACACACCGCGGCCTAGAGTGAGCAGAGGCCGGGGGCTAGCGTAAGGAACGGCAGGAGGGTTGGAGTGAGCAGAGGCGGTAGGCTTGAGAACGGCGCGGCTGGCGATTTCGACAAAGGAGCGTTCGGAAGGACGTGTGGCGACTCCGGGCTGGACTCCGCTTCATCCACGATGAAAGCCGATCCGGCGATCGACAGCGCAAAGTTGTAGTATTTCCTCGTGCGACTAGCACGAATCAGCTCTAGGGATGACGAAGCAGATATCGTCCTCTTTTGGGAGACCAAACAAAGTAGTTTTGCTTTCACAACGAAGCACACAGCATCTTTATAACTTGGCGGAGGAAACGACAAAACTACAGCGAGAATAAAAGTTACGCCTTCTTTCTTTGCGTGAACATTTGGGCGGCATTATGCAAATCTTCCCACATAGCGACGTAGATATGTGGCGGCGTGTTAGAACGAGCCGTTTTAGGTAGGCGTGGCTGACTCTTCACTTTTATAAAGAATATCTCTTTGGATTTGAGACTTTAGTCTTTGCAACTTTACAGATCTTCTTTATGCACCAAGAGTTTGTAACACTCCAAAGAGAAAGGAAAAATTGAAAATCGCATCATATGACCCCTTTAAATCTTATTAAAAAAATGTTTTTCCCTTGTTTTGTCTGGAAAAAAATCCTACCTTTTATGTAGTCCAATCAAATTATGAGTGAAAAAATTGACCTGGTCATTCTGTTATTCTTTGCATATAGAAAATGTACATGCTGTGCACAGTATACATACTAGATACCCCAGAATGCTGCTTTGAACAGAGCCATGCATTTTGTCATGATTATGTATTGCTGTGCCCCCTAGTGGCAATTATTATTATACAGATTCATCTGAATTTGTAAGTAAGCCTTTTTGTAGTTACCAAATTTAGGTACCAAACAACTGCACTCCATTTTTTATTTTCTATTATTGTGGTATTATTTTGATATCTTACTGATATTTATATATATCTTAACTTGTGTTGTTTTCTAGCTGCTAGCTCAACCACTGGGCCTGATCATCAAACAGCAGAGAAGGATCCGACCAAAACGTCTAGTAAGAGTCCGTCATCCTGGAGTATAGAGGAAGTGATGCAATTTGTGCACGATGCTGATCCACAAGCACTGGGCCCACACGCAGAGCTCTTCAGGAAACACGTGAGATACGATTTTCTGGATTTCTTGATGTTTTGCAGTTGTTGTTGTTTTTTTTTTTTTTTTTATTGTAGGTTTTCAGAACAAGATTTCCAAGTAGATTTTATAATGGATTGATTGCTTTTCTTTTTCCACAGGAGATTGATGGCAAGGCCTTGATGCTTTTACGGAGTGACATGATCATGAAGTACATGGGGCTGAAGCTGGGTCCTGCACTTAAACTTTGCCATCACATTGAGAGACTCAAACAGACAAAATAGTAGCTGGAATCTTCTGAGCAAAAACAGAGGATCCACCAGAGGGCAAAAGGAAAGCACAGGTTCACTCGATTTCAGAGTCGACATCACAAACTTCACTCAAGATAAATGGATATTTATTACCCGTGACACTGATGGTCAAAGGTCCAACATGCTGACCTACTTCACCTGTACTCCATTCCCGCTTGTTTAAACGGTGGGGAAAAACTGATCAGCCAAATATTTTTGTTTTTGTGGCAAAAACAAATGCAAAATTTAACATCACCAGACTGACTTTTCAAAGCTACCTAACTTTGCATGGACATTGTGTACAACTATGTACAAGAATGTTCACTGGCTCTCATCTAGAAACAAATTCAGTGTAAAACTGCAGCTACAGACCTCAGTACCTCAGCGATACAATGCTCTGCATATACAGACAATGGTAGAGAAAGCTGAATCCCAAAGGATTTCATTGTGTTATGTATTGTTTCTGGTACTGTATACATGCACAGATAGCTTGACAAATGTTCACTTCCACTGTATTTTACCCTCCGTTTAAGTCTGATTAAGATCCATTTGAAATACACTTTGGACATTGACTATGAAGGGTTTTGGTGCCGGTTAATTATTTCACCATTTGGCATAGTGTTTAATTAGTTATTTAATTTTTTTCCTGTGACATTGGAATGGAAACACACAATCGTATTTCAAAATGTCCTGCTGTTTCATAAAGTAACTGAGAAAAAATAAAAATGTTTTTAAGTGATGTAAACCAAAAATGGTTTTGTTATGGTCCACAAAAGGCACCAGTTTTAAAAGCACAAACTTTTAGTTCTGACTGTTAGTGAAAACGCCATGACTATTGCTGTTTAACTCAAGATAATTACTCAGGACACTTGTACAATAAGTTTTCATTTATATCATATTTTGTAAAAACAGTCATCATGTCTTTTCCCTCTAAAAACTGACTATATTAATGACCACACCAGCACTTCAGGTGACACCCATGAAGTGGACATAGTGTCACATGATCCTGAAATTCAGAGGTTTATCTGCATGGTGAATGATGATGATGTACGGAGCAATCCCATGTTTTTTTTTAATGCGTGTATCATACGAATGTGTATTTAGTTCAGTATTCTATCCTTCAGTGCATTTTTTTTAATTCTTATTTAATAGGTAGAAACTGCTTTTTTTTAGCACATTGTGTCTGTTTATATCTTTTATAATGGATTTTGTGACTTGGGGGATGGAGCATTTTTGTTATGATACACATTTATATACATAATTTTTTAGCTCCTTTTAGATACACTGTATTTACCTTGCTCTTATACTCAGGTTGGAATATTTTGTATTTACTTATTTGAATGCTTTTCTACAATTTGAATAAATAATTTCATTTATAAAGTTGTCATTTTCACCATATTTTCAGTGGAAAGGTATTGCCTCATTAAATATGCTTTGCTTAAAAGAACTTGACCATTTCATTTGGGTTTAGATTTGACATTTTTATAGTATATATTTTACTTATATATATATATCATGTCATTTTATTAATGTGATGTTTCCCGTCATTTTATTTATATCATATATTATTAATAAATTTAGGGATGCACGATATATCGGCCACCATATCGGTATCGGCCCATATCGGCTCATTTTTTCTGTTATCGGTATCGGCCTGATAAGAAAATTTGGCCGATATCTTAAAGCCGATAAATAATGCATTATTTCCTTCAGAGACACTTCAGATGCGCGCTGTTCGTTTGCAGCCTTTTGTGCAATTGTACATTGTAATATTGTGTTTATTTGATGTATATCTGATTTATCTCATATAGAATGCGTTTGGTTAAGTTAAAAGAGCGCTTCAGTTTACCGGTGATCATCTTTAGCTCAGCACACGCAGCTCAAACAGCAGTGCACAACATTAATAACTATGATTGGGAATGTCGTGTATATAACATTCTAATGAGAACATTATTATAATAAAACGTTGTGAATTCTTTGGGTTTAGTTGCCGTGTTTCAGCGCGTTGTTATGGGAAGAGCGCATCCACAACAGGATCACACAGTCTGACTATAGCACGCAATAACTGCATCATTTTGTACATATATAAGTTGTAATATTATGTTTATGTTGTATTAATATTAATCTCAGGATGCATTTCCTTGAATTAAATAAGCTGCCAGCAAAACGCTTCAGTTTACCATGTTCATTCAGCTCTTCAGCTTCAGCACGCGCAGCTCAACGGCTGCTATTTAAAACAGTGGTATTAATTTGTTACTTTTTCAAAATCATTGATATATTATTAATAACAACAACCACTTGTATTTTTCTCTTATTATTTTCATCAACAATATGGTTTAGTAATTAAAATAATTTAATTATTGTCCGTGCAGAGGCTATTCCGTTTTATTGATCTATGGCGCATTCATTTTGATTCTTTACAAGTGTAATGATGTCCAGTGACTTGTTTGCATTATTTATGCATAATTTCATTTATTTGTAAGACTTTTTTTATGACTAAATTTGGTAATGGGAGAGTAAAAATATTTTTAAAACGTACACCGTTCAAACTAGGCTGCTTATGTTGAAGTGTTCGGGATGTGGCTTTTAATGATGAGACCTTTTTTGTAATCAGGCTCTCAAAAAGTATATAACAATTTGGATATAGATTTATCGGCCAACATATCGGTTATCGGCTTTCAAAAATAAAGAACAATCGGTTATCGGTATCGGCCAAAATTTTCATATCGGTGCATCCCTAAAAAAAAATCAACAGACTGCTTTTTTCCCTTAATAGTTTAAGATCTAAACTTTAAGACTATCATCAAATGAATAAGCCACTTTAATAATTCTTATCTCAGTTGTAATTGAATTTTTGCTAATATCAAAGAGAAAACAGCATCATTATTCCATTTACTTGCCCTGTTGCATCCACCACTCTGCGACTGCCCTCTCCACTCATTCTCAAGAACACTTGCTCTCAGTTTCTCTTTTCCCACAGCTCAACTGCTCTTTCAACTCTTTTCTTCCTTTCTTCTTCCTGCTCTCACATTCTGTCTCTCTCCTCCTCGCCCTCCTCAGGAGGAATAATAGTGTGTGTTCTTATTGAAATGAGGTGCAATTGCTCTCAGCCTGAGCTAATTTTGTCCTCATGTATAAAGCATTTCATGAAATATTTACCACTTTGATAAACATGAAATATTCATCTATTATAAATGTTCCTTTTCACCTTAATTTTGTGATTTGTCATGCAAAGACCTCTGAGACAATAAGAAAATTACATCATTAGAAAGGCAGAATTGTGCTTCACAGTCTTGACCAATCAGATATTTTGCTGATGCTTTGATTGTTCATGCTATTTATGCATTATAATAGGCTTTTTTTAAATAATCTTTTCTACTGTCGATAGACAGCAGGGTGACTAATGGTTGATATTTCACAAATGTGCATTTGAATGATATAGGACAATTTAATATTAGAAAATGTGATATGCACACAATTAAATAAATTACATTGAAATATTTATTTGCACAATATTTAATCAAAATGACCTTTAAAAATCATAATAATTGTTAAAACAGAGTACACAGTCTTATCAAAACCTTAGCAGATCTTGTAGGCTTGAAAGTGTTAAGATCTTCCCAGAAGGCCTCTGTCATTGGTCGGTTAGTATTATTTTCCCCAGGCATCTCACATAAAAAAAACGAGCCAGTGAATCAATTAATTTTTTCTGTGCTTTTCTCTGCAGAGGGTGTTTATGTGCCAAGATGTTCTCCTTTCACAGCCCAGCACTTAGAAATAGGGAGAACAGAGAAAAAGAAGACTGCAGTTTCCCTTTAACCAAGCCAGATTCAAAGTGAACACTGAATGGAATTAGTGGAGGGAGAGAGAGAAAAAAGCTGAAGGAGGGAGATTACCATGCCAGAAAAGAGAGAAATGTTATATGGAGGACAGTCTACTTTCAAGGGTTTGTAACTGATCCTGTCATCTTCGATTCACATTCAGTATCCTGGTTGTAAGATGATACATTTTCTCAGGAGAGTCATGTTGGTGCAGGTGTAATGGGAGCACAATGGTAAAAGCCTAAGAACACCAAGGCTGCATCATTAAAAATATAGTAAAAATAGTAATGTTGTGAAATTTTATTACAATTTAAAATAACTGTCTGTATTCTATTTTAATATATTTTAAAATGTAATTTATTCCTGTGAAGGCTAAACTGAATTCTCAGCATCATTACTCCTAATATGCAAATCATTTAATTATTGTCCGTGCAGAGGCTATTCCGTTTTATTGATCTATGGCGCATTCATTTTGATTCTTTACACGTGTAATGATGTCCAGTGACTTGTTTGCATTATTTATGCATGATTTTATTTATTTGTAAGACTTTTTTATGACTAAATTTGGTAATGGGAGAGTAAAAATATTTTTAAAACGTACACCGTTCAAACTAGGCTGCTTATGTTGAAGTGTTTGGGATGTGGCTTTTAATGATGAGACCTTTTTTGTAATCAGGCTCTCAAAAAGTATATAACAATTTGGATATAGATTTATCGGCCAACATATCGGTTATCGCCTTTCAAAAATAAAGAATAATCGGTTAACGGTATCGGCCAAAATTTTCATATCGGTGCATCCCTAAATAAATTATATCATTATTGTTATTGCATATGATTTTTGTAATGTTTTATTTGTTAGGGACAGATAAAATAAACATAGATGAAAATGAAACAACAGTCATCCCATGCATGTACCATAGTGCTTGTAGCCGAAGCTAATTTGCAACACTTGTCCCTAGGGATTTCCTTGTACTGGTAGCTACAGGTTTCAGTTTAACTTTGAGAATCATATAATAATCTATATTATGATGAAAGATTAATACGCCTTTGTTGCCTTGCAGGAAAAAACAAATCAGTATCTGCAATCACGAAAACTAAATTCATCATTGATCAATTTCAACTATTTTCAGGGCAGAAAATAAGCCAGATGTTGTTTCTTATATGGAGGAGTGTCTCGATACGTGTTTTAGGACCTGTCCCTTTTGAAATGTACACTTCTATTGTTTAAGATCTGTCTCTTTGGTTCACTACAAAGAGGGTGAGTTGTGGACAGTCTCCTAGAACTGCCCTGTACCACAGTATCCTGGCTCCTGTCTGGTTTCTTTGGTGAGTTTATCATGTAGTCCCATGAGAAACCACTTCGTTTGTCACTTAAAGGGGCAGGAACGGTCTCTGTGGGCGACACAATGACTTTGACTGTTTGAGTTGGGCACACAATCTTGCCATTGTAGTCCACATACTTTGAACGTGTGATGTTATTTCTATTTCCTTCATGTATTGTCCATGTGTTTCGTCCATTTTGAAGTCTACAATTTGAGCTTACCACAGACAGATCCAGTGCGGAGTTTGGTGAAGCAGATAACACGCGTAACTGTTTAGTTTGGTTTGCCTTGAGTGAGAGGTCAACCACCTCGTCCTGAGACATTGATGGTGTATGTGGAAATATGGGGCAGGCCATGCTGTTGGTACAGCAAGAGGTAGTAGGCAAAGTCTGTGTGCTTTTGTCGATCGTAGATCCAGTTTTGGAGGTTTTGGTGAAAGTTTTTGAGTCTAAACTCTGAGGGATTTGGACAGGCATTGGGAAGGGTATGGGTAACAGCACTGGTAATGAAAGCAAAAATGGATAAGGGACCAACAAGTTTGCTGGTGGGATCAGTGAGATCATTGGTGTGCTAGTGGGCTGAACAATTGAATGTGGCAAGAAATTCCAATTTAAAGGGCCTGGTTTTTCTCGACCAGTCATTTCATACTCTGCCGAAGCACATTTGCTCAGAGATGGTATTAGATCTTACAAACATGTTGCAGTTCCAGGGCTTTAAAACACTGGTGCATCTGTGTGGTAAAGCAAAGCTTCTGGTTGACACAAAAGCAGGTTTTCAAGCAAAGCGCTTGTCTGAATATTGACAAATGGACAAGAGCGTAAAGAAGGTTGAAGTTGGGAGTTTATATGCTGATTCAGGGCCAGTGGCATGAAGACTGTGCTTGAAGCAGGCAAAATCAAGGGAGATAACCCTGCCTCGCCAACCTGGGGTGGCGAACCCCCAGCTAACTGAAGATGAACAGGCAGTACAACAGGCCTATTTTCAAGAAAGACAGACTGCAGCAAAGATGTGGCCACTTTGAGAGCGAGATTCACTGAGTATTCATTAGAAGGATTAAATTCAGGTGAAGTTTTTCTTGTTTGTTCTTTGGAATTGAGATTAGAACAGTCTGGTCCATTGTCGTATGGTATT